CAGTAGTTGTGGCACGTGGGGTCAGGTGCTGCAGCTCCAAGGCTCTAGAGCACAGGCTCAGTAGCTGTGGCGCATGGGCTTAGTTACCCCATGGCATGCGAGATCTTCCCAGACCAGGGATAGAACCCGTGTCCCTTGCATTGGTAGGCAGATTCTTTACCACTGAGCCACCCAGGAAGCCCTCACACACATATTTTGATCACAGCTCCTGGTGCACTAACTGGCACCTCGTGCAATAACTGGTGTGTTCAGTATGAACTGACCGACTGAGTGAATCCCCACTCACTAGGGGAAAATTTCACCTAAGGCTCCAATGAATCTGAAATACCACAAATCAAAGGAAGCATTAAATTAGTCATCGGAAGTGTGTTTCGCTTATATAATTTACTCTTCTGGGTAAGAAGTGGCTCAGTCAGGCTGAGAAATAAAGAAAGGAACACAGGTGGATAAATTAAGTTCTTAGAAAACCATAACAATTTATTGAAGGAATGACATAATTTGAGGGGTATATTGGGATTTTCCATAGAAATAGCACCAATAGGCTATACACGGAAATAGATATGTGTGTGTGTGTGTGTATATATATACATATCTATACATATGCATACATAAAATAGAATTAATAATCACAAAAGTAAATAATTATGGTATTTTCATTTTATAAATGCCTATTTGTTTAGGGCTTGTGCTTAACATTATTTTTTTTTCCTCACAACAACCCAAAAACAGTTTCACTATCATCACACCCCTTTCAGAGACATGAAGACTAAAAAACAAGGTTACTGAGTAGTGGGACTTGGACATAAACCCAGCTTTGGTCAGCTGCAACTTCTACACTCTTGATCCCCATGCTGTAAGACACACTAGTGCTTGGTACATTCCTCACAGAAGCAGCTGAGTACAGCTAGCAAATATTCTGAAGCCAGTTAGGTTGGAAAACTGAAGATGCTCCCCATTAACACACTGACATCTCCCAATCCCAATTCTCTTCTATGCAAAATGTGTGCAAAACAGAGAGGATGGGTGGAATAACAAGAAACTCTGCTTGTCACTTAATTATTAACATAGTAAAAAAGGAAAAATTTTTCAAAAAGTTAGACATGAAAATTTTGCCACATTTCAAAAAAAAATTCAAGTCTGTCTATTACAAAAATTGTTTACTTTCTGAAGAGCTTGGTAATCACACCATAAAGTTCTTAGCCCCACCATCCAAATTTACAATCGGGTATTACATAAATATATATGAACCCAAAACGTGGGGAAAAATCCATTGCATAATGCAGATTCGTTTAACTGTTCTAGTGACTACTTTATGACAGTGACCTACATGGTCTGAAAATGTAATGTGACAAAGAATATATCTGCTTTCCATCCCAAGGACATTCTTGAAAATGAGCTGTAATATTTCAAGAGTTTCATCCTTGTGAGTAAAATGTTAATAAATAGATAAATCTTTAACACTTGCCAAGTCATGAGCTTGTATTCAGTATAGCTAAAAGAACATGTCTTAGGGGACAGGACTAGAATATAATATTTTTTAATATTGTCACCACTATAGACTTTTCCCCAATCTGGGAAGTTATTCCTGGCCAAGTGTTGAAGGACATCACAATTCGAATAATTTATTGGTATGGATCTATTTAGAAAGAGTCAGACCAAATAAACCACTCATACCAATGATGCAATGTGAGATTCACAATGGAATTCTCTCTAAATTGACCTGAAGGAATTCGGTGACTGGCTATGAGCCATTTTTCTGCTCATACTACATGACAGAGAATATCAATTAGGCTAAAGAGAACATCTCAGAAAAGAAAGAAATGCTTTTCAGTAGGCTTACTGATGAATTATTTGAGACAAATTATTTGATTAATATTTTTAATTGGTTTTGAAAATACTTTGTCTAAAAATTGTATTAGTATTTATATTCATCTTCATGTGAGATTTTAAAATGTTTTTGAAGTATCTAAAGTGTGTTTAGTTGCTGATAATAATAAGATAGCATGATATTTATTTAGATATTGCTATGTACACTAAGTGGGTTTCCTGGTGGCTCAGACCATAAAGAATCTTCCTTCAAGGAGGGTGAACCAGGTTCAAACCCTGGGTCAGGAAGATCCCCTGGAGAATGTGTACACAGAGTACTTTTTCTATACTTAGTCCTCTCAATAACTTTATGAGGTGGGTGCTATTATCATAACCATAAGATCTTTACCCCCATGAAATCCCATAATAATCCCATGACATGATCTTATTTTCATAGCCAGTGTTTTAAAGATAAGGAAAGTAGATTAAGAATAAGAAAGTTGCAACAAGACTCACAGTAAGTGATGAGATATGACTCCAAACCAGGATCTCCTGAACTCAGAACTTCTGCTCCTAACTATGCTGCTTTCCATCTCTTTATCCTATATATTGTTTAAATAGTGACATTTTCTAGGAAAATACTGACCATAAGAAAAACTAAGGGGCTGGGCTATAGACTCAGCATTCTTCAGACAAATGAGTATTGACATATTTCTTCTGAATTGCTTGTAGGAACTCACCATTCACCATACACACTCACAACACATACACACACAATCCACATACTCTCTCAAAGGAACCACCATATTATTTAATTATTTCTAGGACAATAGTCATTCAGTCATAAAACAAGCCCCTTTAAGTTAAATCCTTATTTCCCATAGTCACAATATTATATATTAAAGTTGCAGTACTCCAAACCCACTTTGAAACATAAAATATGTTTAAATTGTCTCTCCAAAATAAATGAGTACAATCACACACAAATACCTGTTTTTAAAAACATTTTAGAGTAAACACCTCATTTAATTGCTACAGTAGAATATTTTAGCTTAGATTTTAGTGGTTCAGATTTCTTAAAATAGTATAGTTCATTGAAGTTTGTTCTGATGACACAACCATTTCTGATAAATCATACAGTAACTGTAAATCTCTATTGTTCCAAGAACCAAAAATCTTGTTTAGTATAAGCATCATCAGGTTCAAATTTCCTTTGTTTCTGATTCAGTGAATGTTGATGTATTTCTCTACATTTCTTTGAATGCTAAGCATAAGAGTATAAGTTCTTTCTGTGAAGATGTAGAGAATAATTTCCTCAATGAAAGTTAGTTGATTATCCACTGACTTACACCAGTTTCTCCTTATTTCCAGACTCTTAGTTCACTTCACTGTTCAAGTGTTTCTTTTACTGAGCATCTACTGGATGCCAGGCACTATCCTTATACTGGGAATACAGGAAATAAAGGTGTCTCTTTCTTCTTATAAATGTTATGTTGTTCATGGTCAGAGATTTGTAAATATTTGCTACGAGGAGTTTTTAAGTATCATCATTTCATGACATTTTCCTCAAAGCAAAGATTACAATCACTACAGAAGCACATGTGTGTGTGTGTGTGTGTGTGTGTGTGTGTGTGTTGCTCAGTGTGTGGGACTGTTTGTAACCCCGTGTCCTATAGCTCACCAGGCTCCTCTATCTGTGGAATTCTCCAGGCAAGAATTCTGGGGTGGGTACCATTCCCTTCTCCAGAGGATCTTCCCAACCCAAGGAATGAACCTGGGTCTCCTGCCTTGCAGCAGATCCTTTACTATTTGAGACATCAGGGAAGCCCTTAACAACTCTTTCATCTAAGGCAGCCAACCATAATCTAGCACAAGAAAGCAAGCAAGAGTGCGTGCTCAATCGTTTCTGATTCTTTGCAACCTCATGGACGATAGCCCACCGGCTCCTCTGTCCATGAAATTCTCCAGGCAAGAACGCTGAAGTGAATTGCCATTTCCTACTCCAGAGGGACTGAACCCCATCTCTCGCATCTCCTGCATTGGCAAGTGGATTCTTTACCACTAGTGCACAGTAGAATGTAAAATACAAAGAAACATATCTGAGCAGAGAATGAGGCACCCTTAACATTTGAAAAAAAAAAATACTATATTTCTTTTTACTCTAACAGTTTAATGAAAATCTGAGTTCAGAGACATATTTACCATCTTTTAACCATGTTTTAGACAGTCTGTGCTTTAGTAATCACATATATCATCTTCATGTCACTGCAAAAGTTAAGGGGGAAACATATATTCATCAGTAATAATTATTAGAGCAAAGATTAATTGCTACCAATAATAATTAGTCAAGTTGATAATTAATGACCATGGTATACCTACCACAGCATTTAAAAGGCTATTATGTTACTCATTGCTACATCTCATCTGTATCATCTAACAAATTACAATTGTAAATGATAATACATATTGAGGATTTTATTGCTGCATAATTAATTGTAGAAGTGTTATCAGGCCATGATTCACCCACTAATTGTTTGCAAAAGATATAATGCACATAAAGGATGTAATGTAAACTTACTGTAGTAAATTTACTCCAATAAAATTCAACAATCCTATCTTGTTTAAGGAAATTTATATAAATATACTTTATAAAATTAATAGATGTAGCTCTTATTCCATCTGTAATTCATAATCACAGAGATGAGCAAGGGTATAATTCCATGTAATTCAATTCTTTTTTGTAAAGATAAATATGGAAGCAAGTAGCATTTGAAAGTTAAGAACATTGAGAAAAGCTATATTAATTAAATCTAAAAATAATACAACTTAATAAAATCTCATAAAATATGTAAAAGTCAAGCATAAAAATAATAAAATATGTAATGTATCTCTTATCCCTTCACAAATACATATTTTACCAAGAATAGGGAGAAAAAAGTCCTAATAGACTTCAAAATGGAAAGAGCATGATAAATATATATTTTATTTGAAAATACAGATATGAAGAAAATAAGCAATGACAAATGGAAAATTCCACCATCAAAAAAGTGAGAAAAAAACTCAGAGTGGGAGAAAACATTTGTAAATCATATATTTGACAAGTTACCTGTATCAAGAATAGAAAAAGAATTCTTACAGCTTAATTATAAAAGACAGCCTCCTTTTGCTATCACGTCGCTGCCATCATGGGTCTCATGCACGCTCCCGGGAAGGGCTTGCCCCAGTCGGCTCTGCCCTACCACCGCAGCGTCCCCACCTGGCTGAAGCTCACTTCTGATGACGTGAAGGAGCAGATCTACAAACTGGCCAAGAAAGGCCTGACTCCCTCCCAGATCGGTGTGATCCTGAGAGACTCTCATGGTGTTGCACAAGTACGTTTTATGACAGGCAACAAAATCTTGAGAATTCTTAAGTCCAAAGGACTTGCTCCTGACCTCCCCGAGGATCTCTATCATTTAATTAAGAAAGCTGTTGCTGTTAGAAAGCATCTGGAGAGGAACAGAAAGGATAAAGATGCTAAATTCCGTCTGATTCTGATTGAGAGCCGTATTCACCGGTTGGCTCGATACTACAAGACCAAACGAGTCCTGCCCCCCAACTGGAAATACGAGTCATCCACAGCTTCTGCCCTGGTTGCAGAAATTTGTCTATTGTACTAAAGCAATAAAATCATTGTTTAACAGAAAAGAAAAAAAAAGACAACCCAATTGAAAAATAAAAACATATTTGGATAAACACTTCTCCCAAAAAAGGTAAGAACCAAAAACCACATGAAAATATCCCCAACATCATTAGTTATATATTCAAATTAAACCCACAATAATAGATTATTCCATACTCACTAGAATTGCTGTGAAAATTTGGAGAAATGGAACCCTCCTACAATCCTGATAGGAATGCAAAATGGCCCAACTGCTTTGGAAAACTGGCAATTTCTCAAAGAGCTATCTAAGGAGTTACAAAGTGACCTTGCAGTTCTACTCACTCTAGGCATATACGCAAGAGAGCTAAAATCATATACTTACAAAACACTAGTACATGAATGTTCCTGGTAGCATTATTTACAATAGCCAAAGTGGATACAACTTAATGTCAATTGGGAATGGATAAATATAATATAGTCATACAATGGAATATTATTAAGCAATAAAAAGGAATGGGTTCCCAATGCATGCTATACATGGATGAGCCTTGAAAATATTATCTAATTGAAAGAATCTAGTCACAAAGATCACATATTTATATGATCACACTTACATGAAAAGCCCCAATTTGGCAAGTCTATAGCTAGAGAGCAAATTAGTTGTTGCCTAGAACTGAGGGTTGAAGGAGAGAATGAGGATAGGAGTGACAGTAAAATGTGAGGGATTTCTTTTGGGCATGAAGTAAATGTCCTAAAATTAACTTGTATTTATGATTGTGCAACTCTGTGCATATACTGAAAATCAGTGAAATACATACTTTAAATTGGTTCATTTTACAGTATATGAATTATATGTTAATAATGCTATTAAAAAGAACTCCCCAAACAATAAGAAATTATAATGTAAAGACTCAGAGAAATAATTTCAAAATACTGAATGTGTTTTAAAAAGTGGACTAAATAAGTAATGAATAATGTGTCATAAACCCTTTGTCGGCATTGAAAACTCATAGTCATCCACTAGTATAACTGAGCAAATTGTGTCCCTTAAATTATTTAGAAGGAGAACATTTAGAAATTCAGAAAGTATGCAACTGAGGGAGAGAAGGATTTTCTATCTGGTGTTTGGTGTCTTTAGAGAAGAATTTCATGTAAGAAAACTCTAATTGTTTCTGTGTACTGCGTGTTGCTAAAATGCTGAGTGGTGAGGTTTTTATACCCATGACTCTTTCTTTTCAGAAATAAATAGACCCAAATTCCCATTTCCATCGTCCTTGTGCTGGGAGGTAGCCCTCTGACAGGTTGATTGAGTTCAGGACTGTAAAGGACAAAGGGAAGAAAATCTGAAAAATGAAAGCCTCCTGCAAATTTTTTTCTATCTAAGTTCAGCACTGAGTGTCTAAGAAATCGTGATAAGCCACCAGTGATCCATTTAGAATGGGTAGGCATTGGCCTTAGTGTGCACAGATGATTCCCAGTTCAATTTGGTTTCCAGGCTACATTAGAATACTGCATATCTAACCTTATGATAAATCCCTTCAGCTTTTGTAGTGTTTCCAGAATAGTTTTCAAAGAACAAAGAACATCAAGGTCAAGTTGATAGTGGCCTCACAATGAGAAATACAAGCAGGACAAATGTAAATTTGTCAAATTCAGGACAACCTGAATTTGAAATCAACTGATTTGTATCCCCTGTTTGTGTCATTTACTCTCTCTCTTCACTCTCACATGAATTTTGGAACTATGTTCCGCAAAGTTCTTCCTCATACAAAAGGTTACAATAATAAATTCATTCAATTTCCATTATGCCAAATGACCCTAAATCCTTTCAGCAACCTCTTACTGCCAGTATACACCTGGGATTCATTTATCATGTTATTTAATACATTATGAAAATAACTGAGTTACAGACTTTGTATAGAAATCAATTCCAAATGCAGATCATTTCTGTGGTGGTAACAGAACAAGATAAGACATGCTTGTAATCCACAGTGCAATAATACACAAAAGAAAAGACTGTTATTGGTCACCAAAAGTGCCCCCACCTACAAAAGGATGATGAAAATGATAATTTACTGTGTGCCATGCCTTATCATAAGCTCTTTATAAGTATGAGCTAATCCTATAATAACCTTAGAAACTAGGATGATACATAAATCAGGAACTGAGACACACAGAGTTTCAGTAAATTGGTCAGATTACTCAGTATGTTACACAGCCAGAATTCCAGTTGGAGCAGTTGGGCAAGAGAGCCTGAGTTCTTCACCATGATATCTAGTTCTGTGTAATAAGAACAGATGGTGTATATTTCAAAAGAATAATGTTAATCTATTTTTAAAAGTCTATCAGTTGCACATAGCTAAAGGTCATTCTGTGTCATCTGCTATTTCATGGAGTAGTCACAGAGTGGTATATATATGTGACTATATATATGTAATTATATATATATATATATATATATATATATATATATGCTGCTAAGTCACTTCAGTCGTGTCTGACTCTGTGCAGCCCCATAGACGGCAGCCCACCAGGCTCCCCCATCCCTGGGATTCTCCAGGCAAGACACTGAAGTGGGTTGCCATTTCCTTCTCCAATGCATGAAAGTGAAAAGTGAAAGTGAAGTCGCTCAGTCATGTCCAAATCTTAGCGACCCCATGGACTGCAGCCTACCAGGCTCCTCTGTCCATTAGATTTTCCAGGCAAGAGTACTGGAGTGGGTCGCCATTGCCTTCTCCATATATATATATATATATATATATATATATATATATATATATAAAATTAATACACAGGTTAAAACAAACCAGATCAGGGTAACTTAGTTACTTAGTAGAAACAAATGAATAAATAACATAATTTTTAAAGCATTTGTGGAGAGGAAAAAGATTTAACTTTTATTATGTATTTCTAAAGTTTCCTCATCTATACATGAGAGAACTGGAATATTTGACTATATATTAGCTATAAAGTTGTTTCTATGAGTTACTTCAAGATCCTATATTCATATCCTCTACTTATTTTTCTAAGGGCCTGTTTATTTCTTCTTACACATTTATAATTAATATATTTAAAAGTAGAATTAGTTATTAATAGCATGTGTTAAATACATTTATGCCCCATTTGTTATTTTTCTTATAATTTACTTTGTGCTCCTTTGCCACTTAAAAATTTAAATAATTTCACATAATCATGTATATCATTTATTTCCCTTCTGGTTTTCCTGTATTATATTTTCACAGACATTTCAAACATTAAAAAACAAGCTTTACCCAGTCTTTTGATTATGTAAAGCATTTGATCTTTTATTCATTCAGAATTTTTGATACAAAATGAAAATCAATTATAAATCAACTTCTCTTTCAAGGAGTCAGTAAGTTATCCCAATATCACTTATTAAAGCTTCTACCACTTTCCCAACTGATAATCTTCTAAGGAAACCCAAACGTGGTCATAAATTACATTCCCAAAAGAATTGAGGTCACTTTATAAAGTCTTTATTCTGTCTCATGGAACTGTCCATCTATTCCTGCACCAGTAATACACTGACCAGTAAAAATAAGGAAAGATTCTTACCTTCAGTTATGGTAAAAAGGTAATAAATTAAGGTAACTAGACTACCGCACAATTTCACTTGTCTCGCACGCTAATAAAGTGATGCTTAAAATTCTTCAAGCCAGACTTCAGCAATACGTGAACCATGACCTTCCAGATGTTCAAGCTGGTTTTAGAAAAGGCAGGGGAACCAGAGATCAAATTGCCAACATCCACTGGATCATCGAAAAGGCAAGAGAGTTCCAGAAAAACATCTATTTCTGCTTTATTGACTATGCCAAAGCCTTTGATTGTTTGGATCACAATAAACTGTGGAAAATTCAAAAGGAGATGGGAATACCAGATACCTGACCTGCCTCCTGAGAAATCTGTATGCAGGTCAAGAAGCAACAGTTAGAACTGGACATGAAACGACAGACTAGTTCCAAATAGGAAAAGGAGTACACCAAGGCTGTATATTGTTACCCTGCTTATTTAACTTATATGCAGAGTACATCATGAGAAACGCTGGGCTGGAGGAAGCACAAGCTGGAATCAAGATTGCCAGGAAAAATATCAATAACCTCAGATATGCAGATGATATCACCCTTATGGCAGAAAGCAAAGAAGACCTAAGGAGCCTCTTGATGAAAGTGAAAGAGGACAGTGAAAAAGCTGGCTTAAAGCTCAACATTCAGAAAATTAAGATCATGGCATCTGGTCCCATCACTTTATGGCAAATAGATGGGGAAACAGTGGCTGACTTTATTTTTCTGGGCTCCAAAATCACTGCAGATGGTGATTGTAGCCATGAAATTAAAAGACGCTTACTCCTTGGAAGGAAAGTTATGACCAACCTAGATAGCATATTAAAAAGCAGAGATGTTACTTTGCCAGCAAAGGTCCGAGTGGTCATGTATGGATGTGAGAGTTGGATTATAAAGAAAGCTGACTGCTGAAGAATTGATGCTTTTGAACTTTGGTGTTGGAGAAGACTCTTGAGAGTCCCTTGGACTGCAAGGAGATCCAACCAGTCCATCCTAAAGGAGATCAGTCCTGGCTGTTCATTGGAAGGACTGATGTTGAAGCTGAAACTCCAATACTTTGGCCCCCTGATGTGAAGAGTTGACTCATTGGAGAAGACCCTGATGCTGGGAAAGATTGAGGGCAGGAGGAGAAGGGGACGACAGGATGAGATGGTTGGATGGCATCAACAACTCAATGGACACGGGTTTGGGTATACTCTGGGTGTTGGTGATGGACAGGGAGGCCTGGCATGGTGCGGTTCATGAAGTCACAAAGAGTCAGACACGCCTGAGCGACTGAACTGAACTGATGAACTTTTATCTCTCAGATAGGCAAAAATTTATACTTTCAATACGAATATTGGTCAGAATGTCAAAACCAGTCACGCCAAAAATTTGGGTAGAAGTGAAAATTGTTCAGCCAGTCATCATCTGTAAATATTTTAAATGTATATGC